TTCAATCTGTTGCTATGCTGCAATTTATGCTGCTCGTCATTTGCCTTATTTTCTTATGCTGCTCCCTGAACTTGTTTTTAGCGTTTATGTATATAAATCTATCTTTTTTACTGTATGGTTTTAATCCTTTGCTCTTATGCTTAAAAACACCATCATACTGCAATAAATAAGTGTATCCTAAAAATGCTCATATTTCCATTTTTTAAAAAAACATATCTGATATCTTTTTACATGTAAAAATGAGTCAAGTAAGTTTTTAAAATCATTACTATTTAAATTCATTAAATCTTTCCTGAAAATATTTCAGAAAAACATTTATCTGTGCTAATCTGATTAAAAACTTACTTTCTAATTTCAGATTCTTTTTCCTTTAAATCAATGGATGTTTAAAGACAGACTCAACTGGTATGACTAAAACAGAGGCAAGCTTAACACTACCTCTAACCTTCCTTCCTAGATTCAGTAGGCAAGAAAGGAGAATTTTTGTCAAAGTAAAATTTCAAAGCTTTTTTTACAGCTTGTCACCACTCAGGTAAGTCTAATATACAGTCATCATGTAAAGGAAGGATAATGTCATTCTAAAATATTTGGATCTTTCCTCCTGTATTCAGGGGAGGAGGAGCAATTCCACCGGCAGCCTCATATGGACAGCAATGAGAAGGTGTATGTTCCCATTGCTCCCAATTGCTGCAGATAGCCCTTTGTTTACAGGATCTTTGATTGAAAGTAACCCAGGTATTCAGGGACTGGGTTGCCCAGCACAAATAACTCACCAATCCTTCTAAATAAGATCACTACAAGCTTGCTACATTCTTACATTTCTAACACAATACTTATGTCTAAAACAATATTAAGTTGGATCACTCAGCTTTGTATTTAAATCCAATTGGCTCCAACTGTGTTAATGGTCTCACTACAAAGTGGTTTCTGCTATGGGAATCCCAAAAAGAATTTGTTCAGGGAACTCTCTCAAAACACTATTAAAGAAAGTACATATTACTCTATTATCTCAAAAGTACAACACTTACACAACAACTATCTCTCCACCACCCCCAACAAAACTAGGGAAAAAAAAACACTAGAAGTTCTAAATATAGTACACAGTATTTGGGAAACCAGCAGGCAATCTACCCAATGTCATATCACTAGGATAATGTAGCCTCCTGGTTTCAGGATGGGCAGTGTTTAATAATACATGTATATGAAACAAAAGTGACAAAAATCTTGGTAAGTCAACTAAGATCCTAAAGAGATCAACAAAAATGCTACTGCATCCACAAGTATTTTTGTCTTTGGTCATCTCTAATGAACCTAGAAGTGCCAGCATATTTCACAGAGGCTAAATAAAACTTTTTAAAGGTTAACAGAAAAATATTTATGTGAAAAATGCCTCCAAATAATCTTTTAGTGGGTGGATTCGGCACATACCAGTGAATACCTTTGAGCTTAGTCCAATCTTGAATTAAGCTACAGTTCACCTTTAAGAAACAATGAACCTACTTTTAAGTAAAAGCCTGTATTAATAAGAAACATGGAATGTGAATACAAAAAGAGATATTATCAGCTGAACTGTATCTAAATATTTTACAAAGTTTTCCAAGAGCCATCAGTAGATCTTTAAAACTCATGATCTTTTAAAAAAAAAAAAAAAAGGGTTAGTCATTCATCTGTAAAAATCTAGGTTTTTATGTGTACACCAAGCATAAAATCGAATTGTCCCACGCTAAACTTAACATAAACCTCACATTACAAAGTTACGTGTTCTTATACGTCAATATAACTATGACAGTGATTCAAAGGGTAAAAACACACTTAGAATAGTCTACCTTCTGCTGCATTTCAGTACAATGAAGAAAGCCTGAGCAGCACCCAAAAATTAGGTCCATATTTTAAATCTGCAGGCAATCAAGCAAGGAAAATAAATTGAGGAACCAGGCTATGTAATCACAATCACTTGAAAATCATTTAAACTATTTTCTAGTTGTAATTGTTAGCAGTTTCCTATGACTGTAGTCTTTTAAAAAATATCTTCCACTTCGAAAATTAAATGCACATGTATATTAATGTTTTTTATCTATTTAGTTAGGTGCTAGCTATGCCAGATTAAAATTCCTCTTTTTCCCCTTTCCAATTCTGCATTCCCTTCTTTTCATTTTTGCACATTATGGTTCCAAGTTAATTACGTATTATTTATCCAAATAATGAGTGGCTAAAAATTTAATCTTTAAAACTACAATTTTTAAGCAATGTAGAGTTTGACAACAACAAAAAACATAGTGAAGAAAGCCATTTCATGATGACAGTGTTTTTTCACAAAGTAGTATGTTACCTTTTTAGATTTTATTCAAGGATAATCATTTTATAAATGTTACAAAATTAAAGATCCTCAACATTATAAATTAGCATGCATAACACTTAACAGAGAAAAGTGAATAGTAAGAGGTAGAATGAGTTGTTCAAGGTCAGACAGCATGTCAGTGAGAGAGCCAGCACGGCAATCTCAAATTCCCGTCTTCCCTCACATGTGCCATCCCACAAGATCCCTGCCCTAACTTTTGCCTGCAAAATGCTACCTCCAGTATTCTTCACAGGACAGAAATCACTTAGAATACAATTTCAAACTTAAGAAACTGATTAGGTAGTAAATAAGTTAACCTAAATATCACCATGATATATGAATTTAAATTAATTTTCAGCTAATTGGCTCATCACCTGAATGATCAATTCCTAAGCATAGACCAACTTCTTCCTAATGTTGTATTTAAGTGACATTGAGCTGGCTCAAAGGGACTCAGGCTTCACTTGTGAGAACCAACCCCTGGAAACTGAAACAGCTACTTTTCAGGGTTGGGCTGCCCTTATCCTCTATGGTAACCTGAGGAAGAGACAATCCAGTGTTCATTCAAAGAACTCTTAGAGCAGCTTCCTCGCCTCCTTACAGCTGGAAAGGGATAACAGAACATTCTTACTTCAAAGGTTTAATCTGAACCATTGTAGACCAGGAATTCCTAAAGCATTAACTGTCTGGTTAAGTTTTAAGCTGGCTTCAAATAGTTTTCTTCTAACTTTATGTCCCAAGGGAACCCGTTATGTATTTTTGCACATTTCTGATCACTTAAACTCATTGGCTTCTTTATGATATTCTTCTCATATCTGCACAAGACAGAAGTATCCCCCACTTTTCATTCCATGAGATATATACCTTAGCAAGTTAAGAAAACAAACACATAAAGCTAGGGGCGAAAACATCACTGTTTAATGATAGAGCTTGCAGGTTATCTATAAAGTGATTTCAAGTTAAAATTGTCAAGTTAATAACTATTTGATTTCTATATTAAAATACATAATATTTATATTCTTTCAAAAATATGTTTAGTGCCAAAATGTAACTATTCAATAATAAGCTATATATTCTTGGACCACCATGTGTAGGCACAAAACATCTGATAGACAAAAGTATAAGAATGGAATTTCTGGCAAGCCTACATAGAATAATATCATTTTTATAAAAGAAAAGAAGGAGGAGGTATGGAAGGAAATCGACATTCATTACGTGCTTACTAAGTAACAGGTACTATGCTAAGTACTTTACATAAAACTGCAATAAATTTGATATTTATTATGTTCCCTCACCAAGTCATTATAAACTAATATATTCAAACATCAAAGGAACTGAACACATACTCTAGGAATCCTGAACTGATTCCATTTTTTCCTTGGGCTATGTGCTAAGCCCATCATACTCATCACCTCTATTTATATAAGGCCAAGGGCTCAGAGGCACATTAATTTAAATTATTCCCAGAAAGCAAACCCAAAATACCATTACCTCACTGAAATATTCTTTTCAAGAGGCTAGTTTTGATGATCCAATAATTCAATTCTTATGAGCATATTTTAATAAGAATTTGTTACTAATTTCATTATACATCAAGAGATGAGCCACTAATATTAAAGAATAAAACCATGGATTATGATAATTTACAAATTTAAGCTTTTTCAGTGTCCAGAGGTTGTAAGGAAGACAGACAGGGTTGGTAACTTCAGTGAAATACATGCTTTTTAGGAAGTGAGGGAGGGTATTAAGAAAAAGTGTCTGAACGTTTAAGTGTATGTTGATAAGTCTATTAGTGCTTTAGATCAAAATATCTTGATCACATACATTTGAAAAAAATCAGTAAACTGATACTGATTTTTAAGTGTTTGACAATACTGTTAGTGGAACAAAACTGTGAGCAATTTTATTCTTACATTTCTGACATTTCACTTAGCAACTTTAATAAAATATTAAAATTCTAGTGACTCAGCAAAATGCAAAAATGCTTATAGCAATGTTAAGTGAAAACAGAATAAAATTTTATGTATATCATAATTACATAAAAACCTGTGTGCATATAAAAAAACTGGAACTCTGAAAGATGATCTGACAGCATAATCAGTTTATAAGTAATTACTTCTATATATTTCTTAACTAGGATTTTTTTTTTTTTTTGAGACAGAGTCTTGCTCTGTCACCCAGGCTAGAGTGCAGTGGCACAATCTCAACTCACTGCAACCTCCCCCTCCCAGGTTCAAGCTAGCTGTCTCGGCCTTCCAAACAGCTGGGACTACAGGTGTGCACCACCACGTTCAGCAAGGTTTTGTATTTTTAGTAGAGACAAGGTTTCACCATATTGGCCATGCTGGTCTTGAACACCTGAGCTCATGATCCGCCCACCTCAGCCTCCCACAGTGCTGGGATTACAGCAACTTTAAAAAAACATATGATCGCTACATGTATTAAATGGCACTTTGTCTGCAATGGCTTAACTATGTTAAGTGTTATGTTGATAAGTATATCTGTGCTTTAGTTTTCCAGCTATTCTGTGAGTTCCAAGAAAGCAAACACCAGGACTCCTTTGTACCCTCCACAATACTTAACACAGCCTGTCAGACCCAGATAGACCCAACTGAGTCACTGATGAACACCAAGCGCAGAAAACATAAAAATGAGAACTTACTATTATTTGTTGGTTCAGGAAACCCAGCCTTCGGACCACTCCATCCTTTGTTTTCCCCTGTCTGAAAGATTAAATCAATTGTTCAAATCCAGAGAAACAGGCTTACTCAAAAAGGAAAAAAAAAAAAAAGGGTAACTAATCAATTCAGCAAAGGCAAAGTCCTCTCACATGGTTATTCTGCATATTCTCTCCATCTCTGACCCTGGGACAATGGCTACAAAAGAAACTAACATGAAGAGTATCGTTTATTCCTTTTCTGCACCTGAATCTATTTCTTATATCTTTCTGCTTTTATCTGAGCATGTACATTTATAATTTAAGGCACAAATAAACAAATATTCAATATATGTATTATATAGAATACAAGTTCTAGCTGATTAAAAAGCAATTTTTTTTTTGAGACAGAGTCTCACTCTGTTGCCCAGGCTGGAGTGCAGTGGTGATATCTTGGCTCACTGCAACCTTCACCTCCTGGGTTCAAGCAATTCTCCTGCCTCAGTCTCCCAAGTAGCTGGAACTACAGGTGCATGCCACCATGCCTGGCTAATTTTTTTGTATTTTCTTTCTTTTTTTTTTTTTTTTTTTTAGTAGAGACAGTTTCACCGTGTTACCCAGGATGGTTTCGATCTCCTGACTTTGTGATCTGCCCACCTAAGCCTCCCAAAGTGCTGGGATTATGGGCCTGATCCACCACGCCCAGCCCCATGGTCATATTTTTCTTTTTTAAAGTTGTTCTTATTGAATTGTTTCCTTTACATTATACATCTTAGGGTGGCAGGGAAAGATACAGTGGCAGACAGCAGAAGCAAAAACCAAAATAAAGAATCCTGAAAAGTAAAATGACAGTATGTTAGAAACGACCAGCAGCTTCTTATGGACCAGGGAGTATCTCTTTCTCTAATTAGCTCTTTTATCTCTTTAAAACACAAATTCCTGTCTTCATCCACATTTACCATCTTGAGAGACTGCTGCTATAACCTTTGACTGCAAAATGCTAGCACAGGCATCCGTCACAAAACAGAAATTATTATGTAATAAAATAGACTGATAGAGGTAATAGCTAATAGCTAACACTCAAGATTTAAAAGTGTGGTTACTAATGTGCTAAGTGTTTTGCATGGATATGGATTCTCTCATTTTCATGCTCACAAAAATTTGGTAAGATAAGCGATATTAACATTCAATTTTACAGACAAGCAAACTCGGGTTACAGAGGTTCTGTAATTACTCTAAGGTCATACAGATAACATGTAGAGGTGCCAAAATGTCAAACTACAACTTCCAGCTAGAGGAGAGTAACCATGCTACCTTTGTACTATTGTTATTAGGAGAAAAAGAGGAAGCTGAAGAAAGGAATAAACAGAAAAGTTACAGATGAAGTAAAACTGTGCCATCTAAGAATGAAAAGAAAAACAGTGAGATGAACAACAGAGTTTGGAACTGTTAAGAAGAATGCTCTAGGTACAGCTGGGATGGAAAGGACTACTGCAAAAACAAATGAGAGAAAACAGAAGTAGATAGTTCCAAGGGATGAAAGAAATTTAAAAGATTTTGAAAAGCAGCTAAAATCATTATTCACAGGAAAACCTGGTGAACAGAAAGAAACAAAATATGTTCAATTTTTCTCTTATATTCCTACCTTATTTTTAATTGCATTCATACCTCCAAGACAGAGCCTGTACTTACCAAAGTGCTGACGGTTGTTTAGGTTCTTAGAGAAGTATGTATGTTTCGGGAATCGTGGGGCAGTTCTACAAGTAGCCACAGGATTCTAGTCTATCTAAACAAGTTTTTCATTTTTAATGAGTGGAATTAGTAAAATCTGTTTTATAGGACTAAACCAATTTCTTCTATCTTTACCTTGTTTTTGTTACCTTAATAATATACAATTTATCCAGTTGGTAACATATGATTTTCATCTGAGAGCTATGCCTAACTTCAAAATTTCTTTCTTTTAAAGATCACTGTTTGAAGAGGAAGAGGAAGAGGTCAGGAGAGACAAGGTCAAAGTAATTACTAATGAGAACTTCTCTCTTGGAAAGCAGAAACCCAGCAGACACAAAGCACAGCTCAGTCCTTATTTTCTGTATTTCTTCTATTGTACCCCTGAGATACACACAAGAAATATGAAAGGAGATGATAAGGTTTGGCTCTGTGTCCCCACCCAAATCTCACCTTGAATTGTAATAATCCCCACATGTCAAGGGGAAGACCAGGTAGTGATAACTAAATCAGGGGGCCGGTTCTCCCATGTTGTTCTATTGATGGTGAATGAGTCTGACAAGATCTGATGGTTTTATAAGGGGGCTTCCTCTTTTACTCTGCACTCATTTCTCTCTCCTGCTGCCCTGTCAAGAGGTGCTTTTTTGGCACAATTGTAAGTTTCCTGAGGCCTCCCCATCCAGCCCTGCAGAACTGTGAGTCAATTAAACCTCTTTCCTTTATAAATTACCCAATCTCGGGTAGTTCTTTACAGCAAACAAACTAATATATGAGACAACAGTAGGAGGTAAGTCAATCAAAGTCTGGAATTTGAAAAGCAGATGAACAAGTTGTGGCTAGCTTAACAGATGTGAATAACTGAAACCTAACCTGCAAAGGAAGAAGCTAACAAAGAGCTTACAAACAGTAAAGTGATGTGTCACCCACAACCCTAGAAAGCCTCCAGAATTAGGAGTACACCTGGTACGTTTAAAGATAAATCCTGGAAGGGGCTGAAACAGAAAGATTGGAAGTCTTCTCAAGGTCTTATGAAATCTTCATATCACCTCTTTGACCCCAAGCAGCCAGGTGCTTACCCCTTCCTAATAGGAGTTTCCTGCTGGGAGAAGCTAAAACAGGGAGACTGTGGACACCAGGCACAGTTGAGGGTGAAATCCCTGTGTCACCCTGCAAATAAGGAGATGGAGTTTCAAGGTTCCATACTGAAAAATAAGATTCCCAGCCTCTTTTCTCATTTGCCCCTCAGAAGACACATCCAGGCTTCTAACCCACAAAGAACAGGAAGATAATGCGGAGAACAGAAGAAAAAGAAATGCAAAAAATAAAAATACTCAGGCACATAAGAGAAATACTATACCCATTAAGCAAGAATAAGAAGACATAAAAAGGAATATGAGGAACAACTCTGGGAAATAAAAAATGCAATAGCTGAAATGAAAATTTCAAAGAGGGACTGGAAAACAAACTTGAGGAAATCTCCCTACAAAACAGACCAACAACAAAAACAGAAATAGGTGGAAAAAAGAAAAATCACAAGACCATTCATAAGATTAACAGGCATCCCAGAAATAAATAACAGCAAAAATAAAAGGAAAGAAATTATTAAAGAAATGATATAAGAAATTTCTCAGTTCTAAAGTATATGCATTTCTAGATTATAACTTAAATGTCCAGCACAATTTATCAAATAAACATAAAATACACACATCTCAGAACCCCTGGGAAAATAAAGTCAGAAAAGCATTGAGAGGGAGGAGAAGGGTAAAGGTTTCATATACGGGCTAAAGAATCAAGTGTTGAAATTTTAACAGCAATGCTGGGAGGTACAAGACAAGGGTGCAATGCCTTCCAAACTGTGAAAATGTACTTCCAACTCAGAATTATATCTTAGAAAAAAACTATCAAGTGTGTGGGAAATATAAAAAAAATGAGACCACAAGATCCCAAAAAAAGTTTACTTCCCATGTATCCTTCATGAGGAAGCCCCTAAAGTACGTACTCCGTCAAAACAAGAAAGTAACCAAGAACAAGAGAAACCATCCAGAAAACAGGTAACTCAACAAAGGACAAGAGGCCAAGGAAATTTTCAGGATAATGGTGAAGAGAAGAACCTAAACAGTAGCTCTGCAGCAGGCCTATCAATCAATCTGCAATACAAGAGGAGGATAAAGAGCTCTAAGGGTGGAGTAGGGTGGAGGTTGGGAAAGGAATGGAAAAAAAAAACAACTGCATGATGTGCTTAAGTGGTAAAGGCTTTGGGGATAAATTAGAGAGATGCGGAAAAGTGTATGTACCAGAGTTAAATCCTCATTTTCCAGAGCAGAAAGTATATTTAATTTTCTTACTTTTATATTACGTCTCATAATATTTAAACATGGGAAATCAAGAGATAGCCCAAATTACCCACGTTGATAAATAAAAACATAAATAGTTAAAACAGGTGGTAAAGTAGTTGCCTCTGGCAAGGGGGAAGCAGAAATGGCCAGTGGCAGGAAAGGAGAACAGGATATTTTGCTGTTTTAAATTATAAACTTTGAGTTTTTAAACTATTAATCTTGTATAAATTCTGCCTTTTTATATATGTATTACTTTGAGTATGAGTACTACTTTGATGAATGACCAAATACAAAAAAAGAGTAGTCATGTCTGACTTGCAATGAACTCCAAGATATAAGAAAAACTCTAAGATAGCCTAATGAAAAAAACTCAAGATGCAAGCGTGGCATATAAAAAAAGAGGTGAAGAGAGTATTCCACTTTTCCTTAGAATGTAGAAACATAACAGTGACAAAGAGGCAACCTGAAAAGAAAATCATAACTTTTCTTGAACCCTTCAGAGACTGAGATTACAAGACAAACAAGCAAAATGAATTCTGGAGAGTAACAAATCCTCTGGGAGAGACAGAACTCACAAAACTGTTACAGCTTTGGCAGGGCAGGGATGACTGCCATAAATATAAGTAAGAAGAAAGTAGATGAAATGTTAATAAATTCCTAAAGCCTGAGTATGAGCTAGCATGATAGTTTAGAAAAACTAGGAGCTCCAGACAGGAGTGCTTTTCCATAGTCCTGCCCTGGATTCTCTGGAGGACAACTAGGAGTATAGCTGCAGACAAAAGACAGCCCAATTTGGTGCAGGCATGCAGCTGGTTAGTAGCTGCACTGAGGGACAAGCTCAGAACCTTGCCACTTCTCTAGGGTCTTCTCCAATACAAAACAAAAGGTTTAAGCCACTGGAGGAAGGGTAGAAACAAATCCTATCTGCCTTTGGGGCAAAGGCAGGAAATTCTCTTGTCCTAAGAGCTCAGTAAAGCCTCACTGCTTCAGAAGAAGGATTAAA